ATGAGGAGTATCTGACCACTCACCCTCCTATGGCTGGGAACTAAGGTGTTTTTTCCTCTGGTTTTCTTTTCTTTTTTTTTTTTTTTTTTTTTTTAAAATGGAGTCTTGCTCTGTCACCCAGGCTGGAGTGCAGTGGCACAATCTCAGCTCACTGCAACCTCCACCTCCTGGGTTCAAGTGATTCTCCTGCTTCAGCTTCCTGAGTAGCTGGGATTACAGGTGCGTGCCACCACGCCCCATGCCCAGCTAATGTTTTTGGATTTTTAGTAGAGACGGTGTTTCACCTTGTTGGTCAGGCTGGTCTCCAACTCCTGACCTCGTGATCCCCCCGCCTTGGCCTCCCAAAGTGGTGGGACTATAGGCGTAAGCCACTGCACATTTTCTTTTTGAGACAATGTCTTACTCTGTCACCCAGACTGGAGTGCAATAAAGCGACCTTGGCTCACTGCAACCTCTGCCTCCCAGGTTCATGGCAGATCACGAGCTCAGGAGTTTGAGACCAGCCTGGCCAACATGGTGAAACCCCGTCTCTACTAAAAATACAAAAAATTAGCTGGGTGTGGTGGTGTGTGCCTGTAATCCCAGCTACTTGGGAGACTGAGGCACAAGAATCACTTGAACCCAGGAGGTGAATATTGCCGTGAGCCGAGATTGCGCCATTGGAATCCAGCCCGGGCTACAGAGTGAGACTCCTTCCCCCACTCCCCACAAAAAAGAAAACAGATCTCATGTGAACTCAGAGTGAGAACTTACTCATCACTAAAGGGATGATGGGAATGACCCAAGCCATTCACGAGGGATCCACCCCAATGATCCAAACACCCCCCACTAAGTCCCACCTCCAAAATTGGGGATTACAATTAAACATGAGATTTGCTGGGGACACCCACTCAAGCTATATCAGTTGACTTTTTTTTTTTTTTCATCCCCTTTTCTCCTTGCATTTCAGTTTGGGGTTTCTGTTGACTTACCTTCATATTAACTGATTCTTTCCTTCATTCTGTCTAGTCAACTAATGAGCATTCTTTATTTCTATGAGTGTGTTTTTGACTTCTTGCACGTTGTTTTTACTATTATTGTTTCTGTCTCTCTGCAGACATTACCTAGCTGGTCTTGCATGTTGTCTAATTTTTCCATTAAAGCCAGTTTATCCAGGAGTTTCTGCTTTGAGTGAACAGCTCTCAGGTGCTGTGTCTACCTTGATGTGCCTGTCTCTTTACAGCAGGGTGCCAGCTTGTCTGGCAGCCTTAGTTTTCTGATGGGCCCATGAAAGGCTGCTGGCTTGCCATGTGCTCTGCTTTTCCCTGCTGTAAGGATGGGGGTGGTGACTGCCAAGCATATCACATGACACCAGAAGTTCTCTGTTGTGGAACTTCAGAAGCCAGGCTCCTAAAGTGAGGTTCCAATCCACCTTCTGCACAGGTTTCCTTAAGAAATGGGATGTGTGGCCAGGCACAGTGGCTCGTGCCTATAATCCCAGCACCTTAGGAGACTGGGGCAGGTAGATCATGAGGTCAGGAGTTCGAGATCAGGCTGGCCAATATGCTGAAACCCTGTCTCTACTAAAAATACAAAAATTAGCTGGGTGTTTTGCTGCATGCATGTGGTCTCAGCAACTCAGGAGGCTGAGGCAGAAGAATCACTTGAACCCAGGAGTTGGAGACTGCAGTGAGCCAAGATGGTGCCACTGCACTCCAGCCTGGGTGACAGAGCAAGACACTGTCTCAACAACAAAAAAGAAAGAAATGGGGTGTGCAACTGGGCACGGTAGCTCACACCTGTAATCCCAGCACTTTGGGAGGCCTAGGTGGGAGGATTGTCTGATGCCAGGAGTTCAAAGACCAACCTGGCCAACATGGTGAGACCTCATCTATAAAACAGTGGCTCTAGTCTTCTCCCAGCTCTCAGAACAAGGTCGCTTTGTTTGCTTTTCATTTTATAAGCATCATGTGTTAGGCACCTTCTTAAGTGGTTCCCAGAGGTATTCATGCTCCTACATGACACCCTCTTCTGCTTGGGGACAACCCAGTGACCTGTTTCTCATGAGCGGAGCCTGGAAAGCATGAGGCACAGCTCTGCTTTCTCTCTGTCACAACTCTGATCTCTTCAGTCACTCATTTGGCTCCTGTATTGGCTTCTGGTGGCTCCTGTAACAAATGACCACAAGTTGGGTGGCTTACAATAGCAGAATTGTATTTCTTCACAGTTCCAGAGGCCAGGAGTCCACCATCACTTTTCCTGGGCTGATCATGGTGTTGGCAGGGCCAGGCTTCTTTGAATGGCTCCTGGGGAGAACCTGCTCCTTGTTTCTTGCCACTCTGGTGGCTCCAGCATTACTTGGCTTGTGACTGCTTCACTTCCACTTTCAAGGCCCCATCTTCATTTCTGCTCCATATTCCCATGGCCCTCTCTTCTGTGTGCCACCAAATTTCCTTCTACCTTCCTCTTACAAAGATACACGTGGCAGGTCACCGTGGCTCATGTCTGTCATTCCAGCACTTTGAGAGGCCAAGGTGGATCATTTGAGGCCAGAAGTTCAAGACCAGCCTGGCCTTGTATTTTATTTATTTATTTTTGAGACAAGGTCTCACTTTGTCACCTAGGCTAGAGTGCAGTGGTGCAATCCTGGCTCACTGCAGCCTCGACCTCCTGGGCTCAAGCGATCCTTCCACCTCCGGAGTAGCTGGGACCACAGGGGTGCACCACCAAACCCAGATAATTTTTCTATCTTTTGTAGAGACAGGTCTCCGCATGTTGCCCAGGCTGGTCTTGAACTCCTGGGCTCAAGAGATTTGCCCGCCTGGGGCTCCCAAAGTGTTGGGATTATGGGCGTGAGCCACAGTGTGTGGGGCCCACCTGGAAAATCCTTAATAACATCTGCAAAAGAAATATTGTTTTCCCATATGAGGTAATATTTACAGGTTGCAGAGATTAGGGCTTATGTCCTTATAACGGCCATTTTCCAGCTGTGCATGGCTTGGTCGGCTTCTCGTTTGCAGGAAGTCACATGACAAATGAAGCACCTGCAATGAGCTGTGATTGGCTGATGCAGACTGGGTGGGCGGGGCCCAGACCCTGGGCAGGTGGTGATGGAAAAGGTACAAACTCACTCTGCAGTCATCAGCTCACCTCTCCGGGTTCCTCTGAGGGGTGAGGCCTGTGGGGCGAGGTCGGAGCATGCCAGATTGTGTCCACTGGGCCTGCTCCTGGAGGCCCCGTGCACAGGTGCGGCTCTAGGCCCCCGGCTGCGGCCCCATTTTGCCCGGTGCCTCCATACCCTCTGGATTTAGGAAAACCGAGGCCAGCATCTGGGACCCCAGTGCTCCAGCGAGGGTCGGAAAGGAAGCCTGGAGCTTACTTCAACCTCCAGGGCAGAGAGGGCGCAAGATCCCAAAGGCCCAAGGGCTGGGGGAGGGCGCGGCGGAGCAGGGGCAGCTGCTTTTTCTCTCCCAGGTTTCCTGCTGTGCCTTTTGCTCCACTCTTCATTCCCGGCGCCTCGCAGCGCAGGCTCAGAAGAAAGCCCAACGCCAGCCTGGGGTGCAATGCGGGAGCGCCCTGTTTCCTCGACTGTCGGGGACTTGCTCCTAGTTAGGCGGTGACTGTCCTTATGATCCCCACAAAACCAGCCGTGCAGGGGGCAGAGGGCCGGGCCCCGGGCAAGAGACAGCCGCTGACGCAGAAGCAGCCCTCCGCATAAACCCCTCACCCGCGCGCCCCTTGCCCCTCACCCGCGGGCCCCTCGCCCCTCACCCGCGCCCCCCTCGCTCCTCGCAGCGCTTCCCTCACCCCTCGCTCCTCGCAGCGCTTCCCTCACCCCTCGCCCCTCACCCGCGCCCCCCTCGCCCCCGCCCCCCTCGCCCCTCACCCCCACCCCCCTCGCCCCTCACAGCGCTTCCCTCATCCCTCGCCCCTCACAGCGCGCTCCTCGCCCCTCACCCGCGCACCCCTCGCCCCTCACAGCGCACCCCTCGCCCCTCGCCCCTCACCCGCGCACCCCTCGCCCCTCACAGCGCGCCCCTCGCTCCTCACACGCGCGGGCCGAGAGAGTCCTAGGCGAGGGCAGCTGCCTGCGGGCGGGCGTGGGCTCGGAGTTGGCTAGGTCTAGAGTCCCCGGCAGCAGGGCCGGGGTTCCACGCACGCCTGGCCCCAGAGTCCGTCTTGAGGCTCAGGAGCTGCGGTTTCTGCAAACGCCCAACGGTTCAGCCCAGATAACTGCACGGGGGTGGGGAAAGGCCGCCGGCGTTGCTGCCGGGAGGGCAACCGTGGCCACATACACGGCCACGGTGAGGACGACGGCTCCGTTTCCCGAGGCCCCGGCCGCTTCCGGGAGCTGCAGACTCCGAGCCGGATCCCTGGGTCACCCGGGTCGGGAAGGAGCTGGACGAGACTAGTTCTCGGGCGCCCTGCGTTCAGGACACGCGTGAGGGGCGCGTCCGGACCCTGCGACCCCGCCCTCAGGACCGTGCCCTCCGCTCAGTTGGCTGCGCGCGGGGACCGCTGGGGACCGGTTCACGTGGGCGCCAGGGTGAGGGACCGGCCCCGCCCGGATGCGATTTCCCGACAGGGAGGGAGGAGCCGCGCGGCCCCGCCGCCCCACCAGCCCCGGCTCCGCGCCCCGCCCTGCCCACCCTGCCCTCCTGCCTGCGCTCCCGGCCCCCCTGCCTCCCCTGCCTCCCCTGCCTCCCCTGCCTCCCCTGCCTCCCCTGCCTCCCTGCCCCCCTGGCTCCCCCGGCCCCCTTGCCCCCTGCCCCCTCTGCCCCCCCGCGCTCCCGGCCCCCCCGCCCCCCCGCCTCCCCTGCCTCCCCTGCCTCCCCTGCCTCCCCTGCCTCCCCTGCCCCGCCTGCTCGCGCGCTCTAGGACCCGGCCCGGTCCCACCAGCCCTGGCGTGGGCGGAGCCCGGCATTGTGACGTCGCGGGGCGGAGCTTCCCGGAGCCGGAGCGGATGACGCTGAGACGCGCGCTTGGGTAAGCGGCGCTGGGGCGCGGGGCCCGGGGCGCAGGTGAGGAGCGCGGCGGCGGCGCGGGATCCTCGCCGGGCGGCCTAGGACGCAGGACAGGGGGCACCCCCCACCCAACGTGAATCTGTGGGCTTCCCGGCCCGTCACCCCTTCCCGCAAGCCGTGCGTCCCGGTCCTGGGCCTGCGCCCACTTCCCCGAGCGGTGCGCCTCCATCCTGGGCCCTGCGCCCCCTCCCCTGACCCCATTCCGGGCCGCGCGTGCACCCCCGTCGGGTGAGCACACCAGGGCCGTGACCCCAGGGGCTGCGCCCGTCCTCACCCCCGGCCCTCGGGCCCCTCCCCAGCCCCGCCAGCCGCCTCTCAGGGGTTCCCAGACACCCCCAGGTCCAGGCGGGGGCCGCCCCTCGCGCACCCCGCGTCGTTGTCGCCCCGGCTCTGCCCGGGGTCCTGCGGCCGTGCGGGTCAGGTCCGGTAAGATTCGTGCGTGTGTGCCCAGCCTCCCTGGCGGGACTCGAGCCGCTCCCTGCTCCCCGCAGGCCCTGAGGCCGCAGAAGCGCGCGGAGCGGCGATGAGCAGGCGGCCGGCGGCCCGCGGGGCTCGGAGCCCGTGATAGCCTCCGCCGGGTGGGCGCCGCGATGGAGGCCGAGGGCCTGGACTGGCTCCTGGTGCCGCTGCACCAGCTGGTGTCCTGGGGCGCGGCCGCGGCCATGGTCTTCGGAGGGGTGGTGCCCTACATCCCGCAGTACCGGGACATCCGCAGGACGCAGAACGCTGATGGCTTCTCCACGTACGTGTGCCTGGTGCTGCTAGTGGCCAACATTTTGCGGATACTATTCTGGTAAGTTGGGAGCTTGCTTTCCTGGACTGCGCTCGGAAAAGAGGGTTTCTCCTTTGTAGCTTCTGTTTGAGGCCAGGGAGCGGCAGGGTCCGTACATCTCGGCTGGGCCAGCGCCCCGCTCTGCCGTGGACCGGGTCTATGGCTGCAGGAGAGTCACTTCTTAGGGTGAGATTATTTTTCCTGAAAAACGGTGGGGTTGGAGCACAGAATCTCAAATACTATCTCCAGATCCGCCTCCTCGCATAATGTCCTGCACGGGTACTTAGCAGGGACCTCTCTGCTGGGCACTGGCCGAGGCCTGCCTGTGTGGAGGAGCTGTTCCTACCCACCCTTCTCATGTTGTGTAGTTTTTCATTTTTTTGAGGACGGGTCTTGCTTTGTGGCCCAGGCTGAAGTGCAGTGGTGCGATGACAGCTCACTGCAGACTCCACGTTCCTGGGCTCAGGTGATCCTCCCACCTCAGCCTCCTGAGTAGCTGGGACCACAGGTGTACCACCATACCCGGCTAATTGTTTTTTGTATTTTTTTGTAGAGACGGGGTGTGTGTGTGAGGGGGTCTCACTGTGTTACTCAGGCTGGTCTTGAACTCCTGGCCTGAAGCAGTCCTCCCCACTGGGCCTCTGAAAGTGCTGGGATTACAGGCTGAGCCGTGGTGCCCAGCCTGCCTTATTTGAATAGGAAGTCATGCTCCCTGCAGACTTTGTCTTGTTCCTCTGAGGCCAACTTCCTCTTTGTATTTGCATTTGTCTAAGGAAATGGAAATTAGTTTTAACAGTTGTTGAAGCTGGACATATTTGGGAGAGTGAGTTTTCAGAGGAATTGAAGAGGTCTCACAGCTGCATTCTAAGGCCAAAAACGTCTGGAATTTTTCTTTCTTCTGGGTGATCCCAGTTCCTCTGTCCGTGCAGATTGGAAAGTGTCTACTGCTCTTCCCATGAAGAGGGCCTGATGGAGGGGTGGAGAGAAGGACTCCAGGCAGCTGGTGTCAAGAGCTCTGCCTCTGGTCACAGAGTAATCACTTACCTGCTTCTTTGCCTTATTGAGGTGTGATTTGCATTCCATGAAATGCACCCCTTTCGTATCCATTTGATGAGTTCTGATGCTGGACTGTCCCCTGCGTTCATGAGCTGGGGTGCTCCCTGCTCTGTGGCCTTTGCCCCAGCCCTGGCTGTGGGCAGCCGTTGGTCCGCATGTCCCTGGGCACCAGTTTTGCCCATGTCTGGGATTTTTAGGTGAGCGAGTGGGTTGGCTGCCTCTTTCTCAGAGCTGTCTCTGAGGCCGGAGGTTTGTCCCCCACGGCAACCTTGGAGGAGGTTTTTGAGTCTGAGTTGTGTCTGGAGGTTTGTCTCCTGGCCAGGCTGCATCTGAGGGAGGGTCAGAGGTGTTTGTTTTGGAGACTCCTTCCTTCTTTCCCTTCGCCTGCTGTGGAGACTGGGTGGGGGTGCTGTAGTGGCCTCAGTGAGCGTAAGGTTGACTGGAAGCAGGTTTCTAATTGTCTAAAGCTGGTGTTTACTTGAGTGCACGTTGTGGGGGTTGGGGAGACGCTGGTCGCAGGATGCCTACTACAGCCCCAGCTCAGGTGTGTATTTTTCAAAGGAACACTGCATTTATCTTTACGGTTATAGAATACATTTTCTCCAAAATAATGGAGGCAAATTGCCTGAGATCGGATTACCATATGGGAAAAAAGTTGCATTTAGAGGTTCCCATCCTCCCCCAGTATGCTCATAGTTCAAAGTTGTTAAAAGAAAATAGGTTGGGCACAGTGGCTCACTCCTGTAATTCCAGTACTTTTGGAGGCTGGGTGGATGGATCGCTGGAGGCCAGGAGTTCAAGACCAGCCAACACAACATAACAAGACCCTGTCTCTACAAAAAATTGAAACATTAGCTTAGGCGTGGTAGCATTACCTGTATTCCTAGCTACTTGGGAGGCTGTGACAGGAGGATCACTTAAGCCCAGGAATTCAAGACTGCAGTGAGCTGTACTCTGGTTTGGCCAACAGAGAGATGCTCTGCCTCAAAAAAAAAAAAAAAAAAAAAAAAAAAAAAAAAAAAAAAGAATGTGTCTAATGTCCATCTATGAATCTAGTCTGGAGAATTCAGAAATTAACCCTGTTTCCTGGTAGCATCTTTCACTGCCTCATGGCCTAACTGGCACTGGACATAGGGGTTTGAAGCTGGGAATGGGAGTTCTTGCTTTACAGACCTTTGAGAGACGCTTGAGCTCTTTCTTTGTGGAGCACAGGGCAGCCTTCCAGGGAATTCTGAACTTTGTCCATGGGTCTCTTCATAGAATCAACATCTTGGGCTATCCTGGTCATGGATGGCTTCCGTGACCACTGAGTGCACACACAGGGTCCTGGCGTGTTCCAGAAGACAGTGGGATGAAAGGGGGGAGAGTAGAGGGTGCTGGTTCCTGCTGGGCATCCCTCCACCCTGAGGATGGGCCATCCCTGCGCTCCTCACAGGGAAGCCCAGCTCCCTACCTACTGTACATCCCTTGTGCCCACCCGGACCTCAGGTCCTGCTGTGCAGAGGGGATGATGATCTCTTCTGTTTCTCTCTGGGGAGCTTCTTGCAACCCTGATTGCTGGCATCCCCTCTCTAGGCTTTGGAGGTTCACAGCCTCTTTGATTTCAGGGTTTGTAGGGCAGTGTTTGTGCTTTAGCAGAAGTGACATATGGGACACATCGCTCGTGACCCCAGCTCCATGCATATGCATGCACACTTGTTGTTTGGGTTGGGGGTGGTGGGGGTGGAAGAGCAGAAGTGGGGCTGGGGCAGGCTCTGGTGAGAATGGGCTGGGGAGAGCAGAGGTGGGGCAGGTTCTGGTGAGAAGAAGTGGGGGTCCACCAGCACAGTGGTGGTGTTAGAATCTTCATGCTTCGAAGCTGCTGGGGCATGGTCCTCAGAGCTCCAGGCCCTCTGAGCGGCCCCCCGTTGGGGACTTGGGGTACATGGCATATGGGCTCTGCAGTCCTTCAGGGGCTGCTTTAGCAGTACAAACCCAGGGATTCTGAAACATAGATAACTCATGTTTTTGTTTCTTACAATCCTTACTACCATTTTGCAAAGCCAGCAATCAGCAGATCACACTGTGAAATGCCATTGTGCAGGATTTGGGAGGTTCGTGCCAGAAGCCAGAAGGGCTAAATGATGCCTCCTAGCTGGTGTTTAACGCCTGTATGTGAAGGAAAAGGGAGAGCCAGGCCTCGAGCAGGAAACACTGTGCTGCAAGTCCCTGAGAGCCTCGGCTCCATTGCAGTGGAGCCCAGACTGGAACACTCTTAGATCAAGGAATGAAACATTGTATCTGAGAAGTCATAACATTTTGTTACTAGGAGTGATAGCTTTAGTGGTGCCTAAGAATAGATACAGAGCTTTTCTGCTCGAGTTTTTCTGTGAGATTTTGGAGCATGAAGTTTTTCTGTGGCTTGGTCAGCTATGGGGCACCCTCTGCACTGTGCGTCCCTGTGGGTGGGCACCTGGGTGTGGTCACCTGCAGAGCCCAACTTAGGTGTCTGGGTGCTTCCTGAGGAGCAGGCTCCTGTGCCACACAGGTGGGCTGCCTGGCGCCTGCCATGAGAAGAGGCGTGGGAGTCAGGCTCTCGGGCAGGAGAGGAAAGGTACTCTCCTGAGCTCATGGCCAGCACAGACTGTTATCACTAAAGGAAGAAAAAGTTGAGAAGTAAACACAACATCTATTTTAATCAGCTTTTAAAATTGCTAAGAGAGCTGGATTTGTTTGTTTTCATTTTGTTCCTTGTTCATCTTTTGTGGAACAGTGCTTTTTGAAATTTTGTGTTTTTCTTTGTCGTCACGCTAAAATTAGTTCACTATTTGCCTCTGTGCAGCCTCTCACTTCGTTTTAAATGGCCTCATTCCTTACTGTGCATATTGAGTTCCTCTAGATTTGATTTTGATGTGTGGATTTTGGGGAAGTTCAAACGTTGATTCCCCCGCCTTCCCCAGAGTGTGTCTGGTCATTCATCGCTTCTGTTGAACATTTAAAATATGCGGGCTCGCACAGAGTGGCCACAATGGCTCACACAGCCTCACTGCTGGAGGTGAATGTGGTGTGACGAGGCTTGGTGCTTCCCAGGGGACTAGCGTGTTTTAGATGCCTGCCCAGCATCAGCTCCTCAGCCTCAAGTTGCTGTGGGTGAGTTGACCTGCGCCCAGGCCGCTTGGTAGCCAGTGGACAATGGGTTCTGGAAGTGATGTGAGATGGGCTGTATCCTCTAGCCTTGGGGGTTGCGATCTGTGCTTTATCATGCAGAAGCCAAGGAGAACTGGAGGGGCCGGTGTCGGGGCTGGAGCCAGCCTGCAGGCAGAGTGCCCATGTCCCCTGCACTCACACAGTGTCCCTGCACCCCCGGCCTGTGTTTAGGCCCAGAAAACCTTGTTCAAGCTCCTTTTTCCTGCCAGTTGCCCTCTATACCAGGCCTGACACTCTCCCTCCCTCCCTCTGCCTCTTAGTTTTGCCGTGTGCGTTTCTCGGAGGCTTCCTAGAGAGGCCTCCAGTGAGGCAAGGGGACTGCAGTGGCCCCTGATGACCTGGGTGATGTTCCTGGAGGTGCCCCTTGTCTGCTTGCCTGTCTGGCCCCCTGTTGGTCCTGGGCCTCAGCTGCTGTTTTCTCTGTCCTCCTCTCTGCTCCCTGAGTCTCTGTGACCTCAAGCGACTGGTCCGTCTGCTAAGGAGCTCCTAGGAGACAGGGAAAGGCCTTGGTCTCTGGAGCCAGCGTAGAGGGAATCAGCGTGGCCACCCTCTGAGAACTGCATCCTGGCTCCCTGTCCCCCCAGGAGAACGTCTGTGGCTTTTTCCTGGTTGCTGCAATACCCTCACCTGCAAGTGGCAGCTTCTCACCTGTTGGGCTGTCTCACCTGGGCTGGGGCTTCCTGTCCAGGGCAAATCCCTGGTTAAACGTGCAGGCTGGCGGGATTCTTGTGTGTGGGTGCAGATGCTGCTGTCCAGGAAGCCTTCAGAGCTGCCTCTGAGAAGCCAGCTGGGAGTTCACTCTGACAGTGACTACATGCACAAACCTGGACTCGTCACATTATAGGGTCTTGCAGCATCTGAGGCTCAGTTCTACATTTATGGGACATTTTTTCCTCATCACGTAGAACCTTCCAAAGACGTTCCCTTTTGAGGACAGGAGATCAGGCTGCATCCAGTTTTGTCGTTTACGGATTGCTGGTGATGCGGATCACTGCTGAGCTTTGTGAATTTTTTTTTTTTTTTTACGTTTCCTGAGCGATTTTGGTGTAGCTCCTTCTCACGGTAGTCAGCTTGGATGGGGTGGTGCCTCCTGAGGCTGACTCTGATGGCTTCTGGGTCAGGGAGGCTGTTTCCACAGGGGGCTTCCCCTGCTACTGCTCTGTGTTGATAAGAGGGTGGCTATGGGGGCTGCGGGGTTCCCCCTGCTTCTGCTTTGTGTTGGTAAGGGGCACTGATAATAGCGCACATTCCTGCCGGCTGCATTTTAGGAGCTGTAGGAAGCAGCTCTTAGCAGCCCTCACCCATAAGGTGGCCTCTCTGGGAGGTTGATGGACTGGGGTTGCAGGTGTTGGCCCACGGGTGCCTGCTGCATGAGAGCTGGAGAGAGGTGGGGACAGTGGTGGTTGTTGCCGGGTCTTCAGTTTTTCAGAAGTTGGGAAGTTAGGCCGTTCTGTAGGGTCTTCTGACTTTGACATGTTGGTGACCAATTTAAGTTTTGAAAATTCCCTTCAGGCCAAACAAGCTGCAGGCTGAGATTCCCGCCCTGGAACGGTCAGGGGAGGGTCAAGGCTGGGGCTTTCGATGAGTGTGTGCCGCAGCCCAGCCTTCGAGATGGTGGTTCTGCAGGTCCGTGTCCCAGCTCTTTGGTGACTCTGGGGAGACGGGAGACCCCAGGGCCTGCCAGTCACTGGCCTGTGGTTCTGTGCTGCAGAGGCTCATGGCTGAGCTGATGAGATGCCCAACCCTGGTCAAAAGTCAGCAAGAAGGCCTGGGAGTGGGCAGCCAGGGGAGCTCTGGTCCAGGGAGGGTGAAAGGCTGTGGGCAGGGAGGCCTGGGGGTGGGGTGGGCCTTAGGTTGGGTGGCAGCGCAGAAGCTTGGCTGCCTTCTCCTCTTCTGTGGGAGTCTGTGTGCATGTGGAAATTTCGCGTCCGGCTCCCTTGCTGCTCTGCACGCTGACCTCGCCTTCTCCTGGCAGGAAGCAGGGCTACTCTGGGCTAGAAATGGCTTCTTGCCTGGAGGCTGCAGGGAGGGCCTAGGGCACCTGGGCTGAGCTGTGGGAGGGGACTGAGGACCACCAGACCCCAGTACCAGCACCTGGGCACTGATTCTGGGGAGGGCCTAATGTGCCGAGGCGTCCTGGGTCAGGCTGTGTAGGGGTCTTATGGCCCCTCCCTGGACCCCACCCCACCTGGAGTCTGGGAGATGGGCAGCAGGTGCCCATCTGCTGGTCACTGTGGTGTTCGCCACCCCTTGGACTCCTTCCCCTGGATGCTGCTTGGGGCCTGGGAGAGGCGGTGTGGGTGGGCCTCCCTCCTGACTCGGGTCTCTCCGGCCGCAGGGTCGGGACTGGGAGAGGCGGTGTGGATGGGCCTCCCTCCTGACCTGGGTCTCCCCCACCGCAGGTTCAGGACTGGGAGAGGTGGCATGGGTGGGCCTCCCTCCTGACCTGTGTCTCCCCCTGCAGGTTCAGGACTGGGAGAGGTGGCGTGGGTGGGCCTCCCTCCTGACCCGGGTCTCTCCCTCAGGTTTGGAAGGCGCTTTGAGTCCCCGCTGCTGTGGCAGAGCGCCATCATGATCCTGACCATGCTGCTGATGCTGAAGCTGTGCACGGAGGTCCGAGTGGCCAACGAGCTCAACGCCAGGCGCCGCTGCTTTGCAGGTTGGTGGCTGGTGCTTCAGAATAGAGTCCCAGGGAGTCAGGGCAAAAGATAACTCTGCTGAAACAAAGCCACTCTAATCTGTTCTGATCCAGGCAGCTTTCATGTCACCAAGTGGTGCTGTTATCTGCAACCCATAGCGGTTTCAGTATGTTAATGACTTTAATTAAACAGCTTGTACCTTGAAACAATTCAAGATAATGGTTTCTTCTCTGGTTTTGGGCGTGGCCTTAACACGTCCTCACAGCTGAGGTGCTCCTCTGTGCCTGGCTCCATCAAGTCAGATGGCGCCAGGGAAGGTGTTTGATCTCTGTGTGCGTGGCCTGTGCACAAAACAAACCCTCTCGGTTTTGCTGTGACTCATGGGCTTTATTAGCCCAGGTCTTCCTCAGAGACCTTGTTAAACAGACCCAGAGTCACCCTGTGGGGTCAGGCAACCCCTTTATCCAGAGCACACGGGCAGGGTCCACACACTGCTGTGTTGCCTGGACCAATTACATGCTTAGCACATGCTTGGCACACACCACTCCTTCACCTTCGGCAGCTCAGAAAATAGAAAATACTTCTTCCAGTTTTTGCCTTTTGCACAGTTTGTTTCCGTCTGACCTCTGAACATGCAGGCTGGTGGGCTTCTGGTGTGCAGGAGGGTTAAATCCTTCCTTTTGTTTTTCTTCTAATTAATAAATCTAAGACAGTGCTCACTTTGGCTTTGTCTGAGAGAGACTGATCTCAGCTGTTGCTTGGAGAAGCATGTTTTCCCCAGAGTTTGTTTAGTTTGGGGCTGCCATGGATTTGAGATCTTCCCTGGGAGTGTGTCCCTGTGTTTCTATTCCTTATGATACTTCTTCCTATCAGAGAGGATCCCCCCCTCTCCCACCTCTCCCTTTTTCTTTTCTGTTTTTAGAGCGAGGTGAATATGGGCTGCTTTCAGCCTTTGTAGAAAGCAGACCAGCCTCTAGCCCCGATGCGTGGCCTGGGCCAGTTAGTGTCATTGTGGCCATAAAGATTTCCTGCAGTGTTCTGTTCTTTTTCCCCATTCACGCCATTCTCCTCTCCTCTGAGTCTCTGCTCTGTTCCCTCCTGTGGTGATTTGGGTTTGAAATTACACCAGAGATAGTGTGACGATACCACGGATCTTGCCTAGAAAGCAGGCTTTTAAGAACTGGCCAGGATTCCCTGCGTACTGAGGAGCTGTGGTTTTTATGTTTCTGCTTAGGTGACTCTGTCATGCTTCCTACGAGGCTTTGCCCCTTCTCTGGCCTGCGTTCCTTGTGGCGTGTTCCCTGCCCCTTTGAACCTCAGCATTTAACTTGGAACGGGAATGTTCTCACTGTGGGAGGAACGGAGGGCTGAGAGAACGGTTTGTGCCTAAGATGCCCAGTGCGTTTCTGGGTGTTTCTGCTGTCCTCCGGCTCCAGCCACGAGGCCAGGCCTTGTGACTTTGTTGATGGTGCCTCATGAGCGTTCCCAGGGATGGCAGGTTGTGAGTGTTTAGGCAGTGTGGCCGGCTTGGAGTTTAATGTGTGTATGCGTTGTTGGAACACCGGCTCCCTCTAGACGCGGCATCGTAAGCTGCCTGCCCCCGTTCATTTTACCAGCAGGTGCAGGTGTGGGTGCAGGCTCATCTCACAGGAGCGTGGTAAGAAGGGAATGGGACAGTGGGTGCCTAGTGTTCTGTGTCACTTCTTCCAAACGAGTACTTTTCTTCTGGTTCCCTGGGATGAGGTAACATTGTGAGTCCCAGTTTCCAGAGTTAGGCCTGGAATCCAAATTTTACAAGTGCCCCTCTGTGGGTGGGCAGATAATGGCCCTCAGAGACGTCCATACCCTGATCCCTGGAACCTGTGATGTGTCACTGTATATGGCTGAGAGACTCTTGAGGGGTTGGTCTTGGATTAGCCGGTGGCCAAACCTAATCCCGGGGGTCCTCAGACATGAATGAGGGGTGCAGAGGAGGCAGTCGGGGGCTGGAGCTGAGGGCCAGCTCTCTGCCATGGGTGGGCAGTTGCTTTATAGGCAGCAGAGCCCAAGACCATGGGGAACTGAGTTCTGCCCTTACTTGAATGAGCAGGAGACACAGCCTTGGTTTTAGTCCAGGAGACCGTTGGGTTTCTGGCCTCCAGAGTTAAGATAATCAGCCTGAGTTGTGGCCACCATATTTGTGGTACCTTGTTATAGAGGTGACAGGAAGCTGGTGCACCCTTTCCTCAAGGCCTGGAACATTTGGGAAGCAGGCCAGGGCCGCTGAGAGGGGTGAGGCCGGGGCTTCTGGGGTCAGCCTGGGTGCCCTGCACCAGCCCTCACCCCAGGGAGGATTGAGAACCAAGCGGCACGACTCCTGGGCCCCAAATGACCTCGGTGGAAAATCCACTCCTGGACTCTGTACTGGATGTAACTGTCGGTTTAAGGAGTCGAGGTTCACATCTGCAGCACTGCATATTTGAGTCCGATTTGAGTTTATACATGTCCATGTCCACTTGGTGGACAGGCCCAGGCCTTCTCCTACAGAACACCTTGATGAAAGGTGTGGCTCACATCCTCTCCTCTGCCAGGAGAGGGGAGAGCGGGCCATGAACATAACTGAAATTCAGACTGAAGGCTCTGGCTTCTGGCCACCGGATCTGTAGTTCCTGCAGCCAGCCCAGTGCCGGACAAGGCGGCCAGCCTCGGCTTCCTGCCAGTGGCGTCACCTCACACGGGAGGTTGTTGCCTCTGAACGTGTTCTTTTTTTTTTTAAAGCTTTTAAGTTTGGGGTACGTGTGCAGGTTTGTTATATAGGTAAATTACATGTCACGGGGGTTTGGTATACAGATTCTCTAACGCCTGAACTCCTGACCTCAAGTGATCCACCCACCTCGGCCTCCCAAAATGCTGGGATTACAGACATGAGCCGCTGCATCCTGCTGGTGTACAGATTATTTCATCACCCAGGTGTCAAGCCTAGTAGCCATCGGTTATTCTGGGTTTTCTCCCTCTTCCTCCCCTCCACCCTCCTATAGGCCCCAGTGTGAGTTGTTTTCCTCTATGTGTCCATGTGTTCTTGTCATTTAGCTCTCGCACGTGAGAACATGCAGCATTTGCTTTTCTGTTCCTGTGTTAGTTTGCTAAAGATGATGGCCTCCAGCTCCATACATGTTCCTCTAAAGGACATGATCTTATTCTTTTTTATGGCTGCGTAGTATTCCATAGTGTACCACATTTTCTTCATCCACAAGAAAATCTGGATGATTTTCATTGATGGGCATAAGTTGATTCCATGTCATTGCTGTTGTGCATCATGCTGCAGTGAACATATGTGTGATTGTGTCTACAACAGAACAATTTATATTCCTAGGGGTTTATACCCAGTAATGGGATTGTTGTGTTGAATGGTATTTCTGGTCTTTGAGGAATCACCACACTGTCTTCCACAATGGTTGAACTAATTTACACTCCTACCAACAGTGTATAAGTGTTCCTTTTTCTTCACAACCTCACAAACATCTGTGATTTTTTTTTTATTTTTTAATAATAGCTATTCTGACTGGTGTGAGAAGGTATCTCATTGTGGTTTTGATTTGCGTTTCTCTAATGATCAGTGATGTTGAGCCTTTTTTCATATGCTTGTTGGCTGCATGTATGTCTTGTTTTGAAAAGTGTCTGTTCATGTCCTTTGCCCACTTTTTAATGGGTTTTTTTTTTTCTTGTAAATTTAAGTTCCTTATAGATGCTGAATATTAGACCTTTGTCAGATGCATTGTTTGCAAAGATTTTCTCCCATCTGTAGGTGGTCTGTTTGCTCTGTTGATACTTTCTTTTGCTATGCAGAAGCTCTTAAGTTTAGTTAGATTCCATTTGTCAGTTTTTGCTTTTGCCAAGCACATTTTTGAGCCTCACCTGAGGATAAGGACGTGCCAAGGAGGTCCGTGGGCCTTGGGAGGCACAATTCTTGACAGACTGATGAGGATATGAAAATAATTTATGAGGAAACGTTTGAATAGCTACATTTCACTATGCTCATGGATAGTCAGACGACCTGATGAAGTAAAAGTGTAAATGTTTTCCAGCTATCTTTTATAAAGATTTTAAGTTTTGGAGATCACAAGTTCAGTTTGAAAGTTAAGGTTAAAAAAAAAAAAGAAAGTTAAGATTAAAGAAACATAAATGGTGTTAGGAAAGGGTAGATTACTTAAAAAATTAAATGCATAGGCTGGGCGTGGCGGCTCACGCCTGTAATCCCAGCACTTTGGGAGGCCAAGGTGGGTGGATCGCCTGAGGTCAGGAGTTCAAGACGAGCCTGGCCATCATGGTGAAACCCCATCTTAAAAAAAAAAAAAATTAAATGCATAATTTGTTGTCTGATTATAAAGAACAGTGGATGCTAATGGTAGATATTTGGGGAAGACAGAATATGAGGGAAAAGTGAAACAGCTTCTGCCCCGCCCTCCAGAGGTAACTGCTTTGAACACTGTGGCATACTTTCTACGCCTCTTCCTTTTGTTCTTCCACAGTCTCCTTTCACAAAATCGGCATCATTTTCAAAATTATGATCAGGCTTTAAAAAGAAACCCTCATTCCACTGAGACGTTTTCCCCCACTGTTGTCATTGTGAGTCAGGGTCGGGGCCCCTCGCCAGAGGGAGATGTCCCCTAGGGCCTCGAGTGCCCAGTCTGAGGACAGCAGGGCCAGCGCCAACACGGTGCCACCCCGGGCGAAACCGAGCCTCTTCAGCCAGGCCATGGCTGACCATGGTTGGGAGTGAGTACACATCTGTCTTGCGTGTCCTGGGTTATTTCTTTTTAGCTCACACTTTGCATTACAGAGAATTTCAAACATTTACCAAGTAGGGAGGGTGGTGTAAAGCCCGAGGGTGACTGGACCCTCAAGTGCATTCAGGCCTCCTTCCTGCTGCAGGTTTTTCTTTTCTTTCTTTTTCTTTTTTTTTTTTTTTTGAGACAAGGTCTTGCTCTGTTGCCCAGGCTGGAATGCAGTGGTATTTTCAAAGCTCATGATTGCTTTGAAT